ATTCCGAGGGTTGATATATATGTATAACCCTTGGAATGAAAACAACTTGTTTTGGCAGTTGGGGATCCCTTTAAGTCAGCAAATAAAACAAAATTGGTCATACCGTGTTTTTAAGATCTTTACATATGTGTATATATATATATATATATATATATATATATATATATATATATATATATATATATATATCATTGTTTAATGTAAAAAAATTATCTACCCTAAGAATTAGAAACTTTTTAGCTTAATTTTATTGTTATTTTTATATTTATTGTTACGCCAGAGATGTTGTCTATACTGATTCATAGTTATATATATATATATATATATATATATATATATATATATATATATATATATATATATATATATATATATATATATATATATATATATATATATACATAAATACATATATATATATATATATGTATATATATATATATATATATATATATATATATATATATATATATATATAAATATATACATATATATATATATATATATATAAATATATATATATATATATATATATATATATATATATATATATATATATATATATATAATATTACATCAGAGATGTAATATTATATATCATAAGCGAGAGGTTCCGAGTTCGATCCCCATCATGTCCCTGGTAGTACCGTACTCAACTTGTTTCTCCGCACAGCGGCCTTGTTTGTCAAGGTTCTTGTTTCGGAGTTATAGAGTTAAGAGAGGGTTATAACCACAATTAAGTAGCCTCCTCGTCTGTAGTGGCCTTCTCGGCCGTAAAGAGGTGAATAACAAAATATATATATATATTTTTTTTTTTAATTATTCACCTCCCCAAGGCCCTAGGGGGCCACTAGAGACAAGGAGGCTACTCTTTTTTTTTTTTTTTTTTTTTTTTTTTTTTTTTATGTTAATTGTGGTACAACCCTCTCTCAACTCTTTAACTCCGAAACACGAACCTTAACAAGCAAGACCGCTGGGCAGAGAAATTAAGTTGAACGCGGTACTTCCAGGGACGTGGTGGGAGTCGAACTCTGAACCGCTTGCTTACAAAGCGAGCGCTCTTACCACTGCACCACTACCACATATAAATACACATATACACATATATATATATATACACATCCCAAAAAGATTTATAAAACTCTACTATACATTTATATTAAAAAACTATTTTTTATTGTAAATGAAAGCAAAGGGTTTACATCACTAAACAACATTTTAACAAATTTGTTTTTAACGTAACTCGCATTTTATTTAAAAAAAAAAAAAAACTTTTTTTCAGTGCGACTAAATTAGAAGACAATTATACAAAAAAAAATTTTATTTGCAAACTGCAGTAGTAGGCAATTAAGAATATTTATTTGATGTAAACACCACAGACAATTATTTAACTGTTAAATTTTGTGAACTGTCAAAAATTTAGTTTAGATTTTTTTTTATTAAGTATAAAATAGCAAATTAATTAATAATATGTCGTGCTGCATCACTAAGTCTAGATGAGAAAAATGTGCTCTCTAACATTTAAAATGGGTCACTCTGTTAGTTACATGGCTAGAGCTATTGGGTGCAGCTGAACTGTGATTAAAAACTACGTTAATAGTATGTATGGAATAAAAAAAGTCCTGGACGTCTACCAACATTAAGTGACCATTATAGGCAAAGGTTGTTGAGACAAGCTTTAAATTCTTCATTAGCTGCACATCAAGTTGCTCAGAAGCAGGTGTGATTGCTAATTACGTACAGTTTAGCAAGTTATTCATAATACTTTTTACTTTTCACACAAAAAACTTTAGGGAAAACCACCTTTAACAACAAATCACATAAACAATCAAATAACTTTTGCAAAGGGTCATGTAACATGGAAGAGTGGCAACAAGTAGTATTTTCTGACTAAAAATGATTTTATCTTGATTGGCCGGGTAGATGGAATTATTATTTTCACAATTTGCATAAAGAACCAATAACACAGCAACAACGTTAAATGGGTGGTGGTGGTGTATTGGTTTGTTGTGCGATTGGGTATTATGGTAAATCAAAAACTCATTTTATTGACAGAAAAATGAAGACTAAGGATTATCTTTTAGTTGTTTAAGAATTTTTAAGAAGTGAAACATCTGTTATAGGTGGTGAAAGTTTTATTTTTCAGCAAGATAATGCTAGCATTCAACAGCTAAGATAGTAAAGGAATATTTCAACAGCAGTAAAATTGAAATATTGAAGTGGCCAGCTAGATCTCCAGACCTTAAGATTATTGAGAATGCTTGGACACAGCTGTCACATATAGTGTTTGAAGGTGGTAAACAATATAGTCCAGTAGCTGACTTTAATTCATCCATTGCATCTGCATGGGATGCAATTGACATTTCATACATAAAAAAGTTGTATGATTCTTTACCTTCTAGAGTGATTGAAGTGATTCAAAAGAATAGTACCCACAATTGATTGTTTAAAATTGAGATGTCTTTTTATAAAAATGACAATTTATATGAATTTTTTTCAAAAGTGACTTATAATTATGTCGCACTAAAATAACAGTTTTTTTTTTATAAAATGGGAGTTAGGTTTAAAATAATTTTTTTTTTTTAAATGTTGTTTATTCTTAAAAATTATATAAAAACTATAAAAAAATTTTTTTAAATGTTGTTTAGTTTAAAAGTTATATAAAACTATAAAAATTAGTTTTAATGTATAGTTGAGTTTTATAAATAATTTTGGGATATTTTATCATTATGTCGCGCAGTATGTGCATATATATATATAGTGTATATATATATATATATATATATATATATATATATATATATATATATATATATATATTATATATATATATATATATATATATATATATATATATATATATATATATATATATATATATATATGTATATATATATATATATATATATATATATATATATATATATATATATATATATATATATATATATATATATATATATATATATATATAAAACTTATCTATATATAAAAGAGTTGAAGAGCAAGAAAGCAGTTGACAGATGACTTTCAAAACTTTAAATTGTATTGTCAGTAATTATCAGATAAAAGTGTTGATGAGAGAGAATTCAATGTTCAAGGAAGATTTTTAAGCAAAAAAATCAACCATTTTAGTATATTTAGAAGAAAAAAAATTGACACAACTTTGTAAAAATTGGACAGAGGCTCTCGGTTAGCGGCAGGTTCAACAACATTTACATTGCAATTTTGTACCGTACCTTTAAGGTTTCATTAGAAGAACCAGCCGAAATGTGACAACAGTATTCCATTCAAAAAAATTTTTTTTCATTATTGCTTTCTTTTCTTTGTCTGGCATGTACTTTTTGTTGTTTTTTTTAAAAAAGGTTAAAATTGCATTTTTTTTACAGTTCATAATACAAGAAAATATGAAAACAGCTATTGAGGTAATTAGGAATAGTTGTTGTCATGATTCTTGTATCAAATTTTCATAAAATCTATGTTTTGACAATATATTTTAATCCACTCTAATGTTTCTTTAATTTGTTAAAGGAAAACAATGCGATAAATAAATACTATTTGTTAAACGAAGTTTAACGATTGGTATTATAATGATATTATGAATTATTTTTTTTTTAAACTAATAGCATATAAAATAATCTACTTAATAATAATAGTGTATATAATAATGTTATCTCCTGATTATAATATATTAATGTTATCTCCTAATTGTTATTCTCCCCAATTCAAAAGAAACTCGTTACTAATTACCTAATTATACTAATTACCTTATTTAATGTCAATGAAAAAATCAGTGCATCTTTTACAGTAAAATGCTTAAAATAATAAATAATGTAAAACAAAATAAATATTTTTAATAAATAAAGAGTTAAGTTTATTGATATCAAAAAGAATAAAAAAGGTTTTAATGAAAACATTATTGAAATATAATATAGTGTAATAATAAAGGTTGTTTATCAAAATAGTTTACTTTTTTTTAACTTTTTTGAGATTTTTATAAAATCTTATATTATAAGATCATTATATTATTATATTATAAGACCTTTTTAAATTAACAATTCAAATTTTTTTAAAAAAAGGTTAAACATGGAGCTAATTATGTCTTTTTTATAAAGTTGTATATTTTAAATTACTTTATGTTGATTTTAATAATTATAATGATAAAAAATTTGGTATATCTGTGACATTGTCTAGAATGAGCATGTATAAATGTTGGTAGTTTCGGGTTTTTCCCCGAAAAAATGTAATTTTCTTCAATTTTTGAAATTTTTGAACCCTTCTTAGATAATTTTTTTCAAGTTACAGACCTTAAATGTTTAAATCTGGTTTTCACAAAACATATATAATATAATTTTTTAATTGCTTTTTATTATAAAATAAATAATTTTTTTGCATTTATAGCATGGTCCTGAACCATTGTGCATTAATAATACTTAAAATGAAAACACATGACTTTGACGTTTAATGATCTCAAACAAAAGTTTGAGATCATTAAACGTTATCTTTATAACAATTCAGGCAAAATTAAATTGTTTAAATTGTTATATTGATTTTAAGTGATCATAACAATCCAAACTATTCTCATTGATCAAAGTGTCTTGTTGTTTATTATTTGGACTTAAATATCATTTCTAGTATTTCAAATTTGTTTCATTCAACAAAAATTTAATTCATTCATATAAATTCATTTAACATTTAATAAACTTTGGAAGAAAATTTGAATTTTTTATTGTTAAGTTTGCCTAACAGTTTTCCTAATCAAATTTGATTGGCCAAAATAAATATTAGGAGATCATCAATTAGCTGTTATTTCCAGCACTGATACAATAGTAATATAATAATAAAAAATAAATAGTGAAAAGCAGATTGTTAAATGCACAATATTTAGCTACTGATAAGGTGGAGGGAGGGAAAGGGGTGGTCAGGGTTTTCTTTTAGATAAAATTTTATTTTATCTAATTAGTTATTTATTTTGATTTATTTAATAAAATTCACTTTAGCATACTTTGACAGGACACAGCAATAAAGTAATGACAGCAAAGTTTCTTGGAACAGATTCGAGCAAAATAGCATCTGGAAGTTATGATAGAACAATAAAAGTATGGGATTTAAGAAGCAAAGTTTGTAAGTAGTTGCAACCTTTTGCAACTGGTTGCAATTGGTTGTAAAATCCTTTATATAGTATTGCATAGAATTGCTCATATTTAGTAAATAAAAAGGCATTTAAGGGGTGACAGCTAAAAATGGAACTGGGTTCAAAGACTTTCAACTTTCTTAAAATTTAAGCTAAAATGATAAGAAAACATATTTTAGAATATATTATGATTTTATTATTTATTATAAATTACAAAACATGTGTATGAGTACTATTTAAATTTCAGTAAGTAAATAGAAATTACAAGTTTTTTATATATTCCACTTAAAAGCAAAGAGCATTTCCTTAAAAGTATCATCTGTGTGATTATTAAATGTACTATAAGTAATTTTGGCTACTAAATGTACTAAAAGTGAATTGTCTACTAAATGTACTAAGAGTAAATTTGTTTATTAAATGTTCTAAAAGTGAATTTGGCTACAAATTGTACTAAGAGTGAATTTGTCTACTAAATGTACTAAAAGAGAATTTGGCTACAAAAAAGTCAAAGGAAGTGGAGGAATAGTTTAAAAAAATCAAATCTTTGTTTGACCATATAGATATAAATTCTCAACTAGATTCTCAGGCTGCTAAAAAAGTACGTTATTAAAAACCAAGAAAAAAAAAATGTTTATTTCAAAACATTTAGACCATCAAGAAGCAGTTGCAAGTTTTTTTAGTTTATCTTGTCAAAAATTTAAAAAAATTAAAAGTCAATTATTGATTCTTTCTTTTTAATTTTGGATTAACACAAATAATGAAGTTTTTACATGAACAATCTTGAATGAATGTAATCGAGTTTACTTAGAGTTTTGATAAAAATAAACTGCTATGGATTTTTTAAAACATAGCAAGAAAAGAAAATGGTATAAAACTCGCTATAAATCATAAAATCTGTTTAAACAAAGTTTCTTTTTTGATTTACTTTACTTTTTAAGGGAGTTATGATAATTAAATCCCAGTCCCATTTTTTAAATGTCATTCAATATGTGCATTTGTTTTCGTTTTTTAAATTTGTTTATATAACTTTTTTAATATTTTATAATGTTTATATAAGTTTTTTTAATGTTTTAATAGATATATGACTGTTATTTTTTTCGTATTTTTTATATCTTTACATTTTTGTATTTTTATACTTCTTTGTTAGTGTTAGTATAAATGCTTCTAATTCTGTTATATTTTTTTTCTTTTTTTTTTGACACTCTTGTATTTAAACAGGCACTAAAACACTCTTTGCAGGATCCAGTTGTAATGATCTTGTTACATCAGACATTGCAGGGTAGCATATTTTTGCTTAAATTTTTCTTTCATAGATATATTTGCAAAATATCCACATATTTTAGTCTGTGTTATATCTGTGTGTTATCTTGACTTGAATGATATTTTTTTAAAGCTAATATTTATTCTATATAATAACAGTAATAAAAAATATTTGTTTAAATATTTGTTTTATACTAATGCTTTAATTTTAAATGTATTAAACATAACTAATCAATACATAATTATAAAGTATATATATATATATATATATATATATATATATATATATATATATATATATATATATATATATATATATATATATATATATATATATATATATATATACAGGGGCAATTCTAGGAAAATAAGGAAATTTGGCGTAAACATTAACATATGTAGGCATTTTGTTTTTGAGAAAAAAGTAATATTTGCCGTAAAAACAAACAATGTCAGGGCGCGACAAATCAACGAACGTGCGAATGTTTGTTTTTTAAAAAAATTGAATGTCACGTTTTCTTACTTTTACTTAAGCTAATGTTGGCATATGCTTAAAATTCTTAAAAATGAACGCATAAGGGATTGTCCATATATTACATATGCTGGGAGAGGAAGAGGGGGTCTGCAAATGACATATATGCGATGAGAGGGCAATGGGTTAATTATAAATGAAAAAAGAAACTAAATTGAAAAAGATATCATAAAATGTTAGATAAATTGGTTTAAAGCGTAGATTCTTTTAGGGAGGTGGTGGGTACTCAAAAAAGCTTATTGCAAAATAGGAGGAGGGGGAGGTGGACAAAAAGTGAATGTACTTAATGGACGACCCTTAACTTCAGAAATTTTTTTTTCCAAATAATTATGCGATTGATAGTTTTTTTTTTATTATAAAAAAAAACAATAAGTTACTAAAATTTAAAACACATTTTTTCAATAGCATTACTTTTAAGTTTAATAATTAAATATGCAACTGAAGAAAGTAATTATGTTTTAGCATGGTTTTTACATGTGTTTACAAAAGCATATGAAATTTTAGTTAAAATGATTGCATTTGGAGTTTCTTTAAAAGAAACCATGCTAAAACATAGCTTTCATCAAAACTTTTTTTAATTTTCTGATTATCGTTTAATTAAATTTAATCTTATTGGTGTTGTTAAACACACAGTAAAAAATGAAAATTATAATAAACATAACAGTTCTATAGATTGTATTAAATTATATATATTTTAAAATAATATATAGAAATATTATATTTATTATAGTTTTCATTTTTCCAATTTATTAATTCTTTAAGTTTTTATTAACTCGTCGTCTCTGTTTGTTTGATGGTTTTCTAATATCTTTAATTAAATAAATGTCTTAAAAACGGGAAGAGGGGGGCACTTCCCTCCCAAGTTTTTTTAAATTTCATTCAAATTCTTTTTTTGTTGCCCTAGCCTGCTTTAATTTTTGTTTCCGCCCTCCCCCTCTAACATTTTTGACCTTCCTACACGAGTAACTAATATTACAAAACAAGTTATATTAGTTGCACCTGTTTGAAATTTTAAAAATTTTAATGTAAAATAAATGTATTTAGAAGATGAATTAAGTAATAATACAAAAAGAAAAACAAATAACAATGAAATTTTTATGCGCACAAGATGTTTAAAAAATATAATTTTGAAATTGAAGAATTAAGCATAAAAGCTCTTGAGAAATTTTCCCAAAACTCTTTTCTATTATGGGTTTTGATTTTTAGATTGAATTGATTCCGGCTTTTAAACTTCTTAACCCTTTATGGGCCAGTGATGCCATACGACTTCAGTGACTTTAGGAGTTCTTCTATAGCTTACTAAAGCCTGTAATAAGGAGAATGCTTTTGTTTGTTATTCAACACCAAGGTGTACACACGCTAAAACTTTTCATAATGGTAGAACATACTTTGTAAGAAGTAAACACTTGGTTTATTGCTGTAGTAGAGAAAAGATGTAAAAACTCAAATATCTCATTTTTATTTTTTTCATTTTGTATTTAGATAACACATTTATAAAACACTTTACTAAATGATATTCAAAATATAAATAACAAAGATTTATTTGAGGGTATTTTAGTTAAAAAGTGATCATTATTTTGTGTATTATAAATTTTCAAAAGTAAATGATGCCACATGGCGTCATTGGCCAAAAGGAATTGTCTTTTTGTTGTCTTTATGATATTTCCACCCTTGATTTGATCCAATACCTATTGGAATAAAAGCTGCAGGCACAATCAGACCAAATCGTTTACATGGGTGCCCAGTAAATTACTGGGTTTACTATTACTGAGTAATATCATCAAAAGAACTCAAGAAACAAGATAGAGGTTCACTTGATTATCGTATTGATAAAAATTCTGCACTAATTGTTGTGAAATGGTTAGACAACAATATTGTACATTTAGTATTCAACTTTTTCGCTGGTGCAGCAAAACAAAAGAAAAAAAAAACGTTGCCTGCCCATATATAGTGGCAGCATACAATAAATGCATGGGAGGTGTAGATCTAGCAGATATGCTAGTTGCCTTGTACCGCACAGAAGTAAAAACATGACGATGGTACATCAAAGTGTTCTGGCATTTTGTAGATGTGACCAAAGTGAATGCCTGGATCTTAAATAAATGGCATTATCAGCAATTAGGTCTTCCAATCAACAAACATCAAGCATTAGCAGAATTTACAGTAGGTATTTTAAATGAACTTATCCAAGCGAATAAATTAAAAGCAAATATAGGGTAGGAGAAGACCAGCTAAACTTAGCAGTATCAACCAAGTTCAACAAAGGAATAGAAAGAAACCAGTCATACCAATCCCTATTAATGATATTAGGTATGATCATATAGGACACTGGCCAAAACCACAAAAAGATAAAAAAAGATGCAGGATGTGTCAGAGTTATAGCAGAATGATGTGTGCAAAATGTAATGTTTTCCTTTGTTGTTAGCCAATCGCAACTGCTATGTAGACTTCCACAATTGAATAAAACTGTATTTACTGCTTACATACATTAGAATAAACATGTTTTTTGAACAAAAAGTTTTCTGCCTGTGCTGTTTATATATAGTTCAATAAAAATATTTTATAACTTTGTTTTCAGATGTTATCTTTATTGACCGATGATGCCATATGGCATCAAACCTAAATTTGACCAAAATTAAAAAATTTTGAATATTTTTTTTCAATAACTTATTTTGTTAACTTAAATTGTTAGTATAACAAAAAATAATATTTTTTACATTAATTTGTCATAATTTGGCCTGTAAAGGGTTAAAGTATATGGTAAAGTTGACATTTTTTCTTTCTGCTTTTTAGATAAAACTGATGCTTCAATCACGGGGCAATAATAGTCATAATATGTTGATGCCAAACAATTGAAACTATACTTTCCTTTGTTTTTCCAATAGGCAACAACAATAAAACATGCTATAAGAACTTGATTTCGACAACGTTTTCCATATATGGACAAAAATACAATTTATTCAACATATATTGAGTTATTTTTTTCTTTTGCACAAAAATGTTTGTGGTCTTAAAAGAATAAAAGCTCACTCAATTACAGCTACAAATTATATCATTTTTATAGAAATAAAATCAAACTTACCTGCAAATTGTAACTTTTGTATTTTGTTTTGCTGCTTTCACTCTTTGAATAAAATCATTGAAATTGTACTCGTGACATAGTTTTCGTGACATAAGTTGCTTCTCTATTAAATGATGAAATGAGTCACAACTCATAAATGTGTGACCATAACTCATAAATGTGATTTTGTTGGTTGTGATTTCATTGCCATTAATCATATATATCAGAAACATCACTCCAATTTTTGTTTTAAGTGTAATAATTTTCACACCAATGGTGATTTCAGATTTATCTCGATATTCTTGCAAAAAAAAAAAGTAGATTTAGCTCCTCTTTGTATCGCCCAGCATTTTGTTTATGCCAAACAATTGAAACTATACTTTTCTTCGTTTTTCCAATAGGCATAAATGATACATTATATGTTGTTAACCGCTGACAAAACATTGCTTCTTTAAAATTTCCCATTCTTGGTAGCATAATTACTTTTTTCATGTCTGTCACCAATATTATTTCTTGTGCACAAACAGTTTGATCAGTTTCATGTCTATATTACTGTTGTGCCCAACCCTTTTCATGTGAATATTCCTTGTCATGCAATATGTACAGTCTGGAGTTGATTTAGAATGATTTTTTTTTTCAACAATGTGTAAAGAACTGAAGGCATGTGTAACACTCTTTCTTTGTTTGATAAAAATTCTGCAAAACATATGGAGCTAATTACTCCAAATATAGTGCGGCATTTTGAATGCCGCTATCATCTATAAAAAAGCCAGTCTACGTTTTTTCCAACAAAAAATACAACAAAAATGCTTATTTTTTTAAATCAATTTTTTTTTTTCCTAATAATAATATAATTTATATAAGTTATTTGAAAATAAAACTCCATTATAATTTATTAAAAAATTATTTGAATAAAAAAAAGTAAAAATTGAAAGAATTGAAAATAAAACTGGCATATTCATGGCCGACAACATGGGTTTCAAAGTAGAGGCGCACAACCATCTCTTTCTAAAAACAAGTGTATATATAAATGTATATATATATGTACACATATATATACACTTTTTATACTAAACCAGTTATCAAAAATATTTTTTTCAATAGAAAAACCCTATTAGAGTAGTCCTAGTAGAGTAGTATTAGAGTAGACAAAACATTAAGTACAAAGCAGATTATTATTTTTTTTAATTTTAAATAATTTTTTCACATGGTTATGTTTGTGTTTAATAGTGTTTTGCATTTAGGACTACTATCATTAGTGGCCATTTTGATAAAAAAATTCGCTTCTGGGATATAAGGTATATTATATTTTATCACTAATGTTATAATTATATTTGTTATAGTAATGAGTTTTTTTTTTCTGTGTTTAATGGTTATTATTAGCATAATGTTTTATGAGAGTATATGCACAGTAATGTGCATATTCTTTGTGATTATGATGATAATTCTCCATTATTATGGTGATAATTCTTTTTAAGATGTGATCAAAACTCTAATGAGATTCAGCTTCAAGGCAAAGTTGCATCTTTAGACTTGTCCCAAGGTGATAATGTAATTTGTTGAAATTTTTTAGCTTGTCATATATATACATAGAATACAATACATACATACATACATACATACATACATACATACATACATACATACATACATACATACATACATACATACATACATACATACATACATACATACATACATACATATATACACGCTTGCATAGATTAATACTGACATTATATAAACTACATTTATCATATTTTCACAATCTAGCTTCCCTTCATAATTTAACATTAAAAATATTAAAAATATATGGCATACATGTCATATACTTCTAACGTTAATGTACATTCTACAGTTTGCAATGAACTTAATATTAATACATTCAAGAGAAAAAACAGTTAGGTACTTGACATGCAAAAACTTTATCGAAAATGTTTTCTTGACATGACAGGATAATGATCCAAGGTAATGATTAATCTAAGTGCATAAAAATTCAAATATGACATGGCCATCACAAGTTTTAAATTAATACAAATTCAACCATGGAAACTTAATATATAATAAATTTAAATACATATGATAATTTAAATAAATTTTTTTTAACATTAATGTTTTGTTTTGGTTGTCCACTAAAATAAACAAGTTTTGCTTATTTTAGCGGACGAGAAAATGAATACTTTTTCCAGTAAATAATAACATAGTTTTTTAATTATTTTAATTATAAGAATCAATTCAAAAACAATTGTTAATTATGATGATTATGTTAAATAGAGAGTATTAATTATGACAATTACGTTAAATAGAGAGTGATTAATGATTTCACAGATAATTAGAAACATTTTTTTTCACAAATAATAGTTAATTCTATACTACTACTTGTGTTGGCTCTTTAAGAGATTCTGAAGAATGATAATTAGTAGTTTTTCTTGTCAGTTTCAATAGAATTATACTAGCTTTACCCCGAAACCCCCACACTATGCTTACATTTATAGTTTGACATCATTATATATATATATATATATATATATATATATATATATATATATATATATATATATATATATATATATATATATATATATATATATATTTATATATATATATTTATATATATATATATATATATATATATATATATATATATATATATATATATATATATATATATAATCTGTGCATTTCTACTTTTATAACTATAACTTTACTCAGGAATAAGATTTTTTTATATTTCACATTTCTGTTAGAAGAAAAACAAATTTCTTATCAAATTATGTAAAAAAAATCTTCTTTTTGTGAAAACTTGATGAGAAAATTAATTGACAAAAATAATCTATAAAAAAACAAGATATTTAAAATTCTCATAAAAATCAAAATATTTATTTCCATTCAAAATTTAAATGATTAAAACATTGGACATTTTTCAAAGAATATTTGTATTATTTTTTCCTTTCTAATTTTGATCGATTCTAAAGTTATTACAGAAATACTAAATAAGGGATTTTCGCCACCTATTTACATTAAATAGAAATGCGCTTTGATTGGATAATTAATATTATTTCCCTTCCTCTTGTTTTGATAATTAATTTCTTAGTTCATGTTGATCTTATAATCAATTCAAATTATTAAATCAATCAATTATCAGCAACAATGCCACGAAACTACAAGAGAAAATCTGTAAAAAATTATAGCGAAGAGCTAGCGGAAAAAGCCAATGCAAAAGTTAAAGCTGGAGAACTAAGTTGCAAGCGAGCTGCGGAATTATATTGTGTAACTCAAAGGATACTAGGAGGAAAAATTCAATATCCAGAAAAGGTAGCTGGGGTTTGTCAAAATATCCTACATTTCTTTAAAAAAAAAAGGTGGAGGGGGGATGCATGCCCCAATACCTATTGGTATCGATGGATTTCTTTTATTTAGCTAATTGTAAATGTGTTTTAAAGATTTGTAATGTAAAATAAAAAATTTATGTTGTAAAATAGGTGGCAAAACTTTCCCAAATTAGATTTTATTAGAGTAATTTCGCCACCCCATTTTTTCTGTTATTATTTTCTAATTATTTTAAAAAAAAATTAAAGTATGTAAAGTTTATAAAAATAGTATTAACAATAAATAAAAAATTTGACTTTCATTTTTAAATCTCAAGTAATTTAAACTGAAAGAATTAGTGGCGAAATTACCCCATCTTACTCTATGTTTTAAAAATATTGATATGTATATATATATGTGTGTGTGTTTGTTTGTATATGTTAAACTAAATATATATTTGCACTAATAAATAATATATACATACATTAACTATATATACATATATTACATTCATATTTGTTGTTATCATTACATACATATATATGTATAAACTATATACAAAATATACTAAATGTTTATTTACACAAGTAAACAATATAAACTATAAATACATATAATGCATTCACTTGTGTTTGATTTAAGTAATTGAATTTTTTCTATCATTAAAATGTTTGGTCACAATACAAGTAACAATTTTATAAAAATATAGATATGAATTATCTTTTGGCTTGCACGCGAGATGACTCACTAAAACTGATTGATTTAAGAAGAAATCGAATTGTATCCACATACAGGTACCAGAAAAATATTATACATAAAGTGGTCTATAAAATAACAAAATGTCATGCTTGTATATAGTTTTAAATAGTGAAATACTCAAAATTAAATAAATAAAAAATGTTATAAATGTATTTTATTATATATGTATATTATTATAAATGCATATTAGTATAAAAAGGTTTAAATAGTGTAAATGTAGTTTATGATTTCTGAACTTATTTAATTTTAGAACTGATGGTTTTAAAGTTGCGTTTGATTACACTCGTGCTTGTTTTAGGTAACAATGTATACATACATACATACATACATATATACATAAATATATATATATATATATATATATATATATATATATATATATATATATATATATATATATATATATATATATATATATATATATATATATATATATATATATTTTATATATATATATATATATATATATATATATATATATATTTATATCAGGGGCTATTCTTGACTGTTTCGACAGGATCGACCATATGTGATGCCACCCAAATTAAAATTTGAGGATCTTTTTTTTAAATGTTTTTTACAGCAAATATTATTTTTTTTTATGAATAAACGCTGATTTTCTGCTATATCGCTTTGCGACGGAGGGGTACCATCACCAATTTTTTTTTCCTATAATTGTAGTAATATATAATAATAATATATACATCGCCCTGTGTGTATATATATATATATATATATATATATATATATATATATATATATATATATATATATATATATATATATATATATATATATATATATATATATATATATATATATAAGCATACACTTTATTATATATCTTATTTTATGTTATATTATAAGTTACTTTTGGAAAGTACAAAAAAATTTGAGATTTTAACTAGTTTTAAATTTAGTTTTAAGAATTAAGACCAGTTTTTGACCAACACCTCCACACACACCCCCTAGCCCTCTTTTCTATTGAACTATTTTTTGACTAAATTTAATCTAGTTAGTACAACCATTAATAAAAAAAATATTGCAACATTGAAGTCTGTTTTAAAATAAACGGATTACAAGAGTTAAAATTAAAACTGAGAGCTTTGGTGTGTATATAGTAATAATATAATATTTTTTACTTATCATGTTTATATTTTGAATTATATTATTTTAATTTTAAATCATTTTGTTTAAAAAGTTATTTAAAAAAAGCGACAAAAATATTTATATCTTTAGTTTAATAACAATGAAGCTCACTGAATTTGACTTTTTTGAAATTTTTATTGCTGAGGAAAATAAACAACCAAAAATTTTTCTGCAAATATAACAGGTTGTATACTAATAATTTGCAAAGGCACTTGGCTTATTTTTAGTGTTTCAAAATTTACACATAAAAACTTTTCCAAAAAATCTTTAATCGTTGCACCTTCCGTTCAAAAGTTTTATACCAATGTCTGTGAAAACAGCTGTTTGGCCCGCTGTGCACATATAATAAAATTTAAAAAAATGTGTTTCAAACTAAATATAACTATTTTTGATAATTTTTTTTTTATATTTTAATTTTTTAATATATTATAAATAATTTTTAGTTGATTATAAAAATAAATAGCTAAAATTTAAGATTTTTGTAATGAAAATGGTTAATCTATATATTGATTTTAGATTTAATCTATATATTGATTTTACATAAATATAAGATTATATATATATATATATATATATATATATATATATATATATATATATATATATATATATATATATATATATATATATATATATATATATATATATATATATATATATATTATACTTGTTAGCCCGGATGCTCAATATGCTTTATGTGGGTCACATGACAACAATATTTATGTATGGAATACACGCACAAACCAACTCGATAAAGTTCTTAAGGAACATAAGTATGGATATTTTGTTTTTTCATGGTGTCACCAAGGCTTTTTTATTTAAATCAATTAAATTTAGAAAATAATGTTTGTTTTAACCCTTTCTTTCACAATTTCTTACTTTTTTGTTTTTTATTAAGGAGCGCTGTTATTGCAACAGCATGGCATCCGCATGGATCTAGTATTTTATCAAGCGACAAAAATAAGCACGTTATTTTGTGGAATGACTTTTGAAAATGATTTTTAAATACGGTTTGGAGTGCTTTGAGAATCCAAAAGCAACGTTGTCAGTTAAACAGTTCCCGCTTTAGATCTAATATGGCGCACTTTGGTTTAATATCAATGTAGATTCTTATTGTTTTTGTGGTGTGCATCTGATGGTGTTTATCGTTTTTGTTAAAACAGTTTTATATTTTAAATACTATTCCTGTTGGCTATATACCCTCAAGTTGTTGCTATTGACATCAATGTGTTTTTTTTGAATGGATATTTAGTAAATAAGTAGAGTATAAATGGTATTAAAAGTAACCGAGTTTAGCAAAAAAACTACAAATTGAATTACGATCAGAGATCGTAATTTAACTCTTTGTGTATGATCAATATGATAAAAAAAAACTTTAAAACTTTTGAAAAGGGCTAGATAATTTTTGCTATTTGTAAATGTTTTAACTTTTTATATTTAGCAAAAAAATTTTATATTATGTTCGCTAAGCTCATACATAAAATCAAATTAATTGGTTGTTAGAAACGTTTACGGTATGCCATCTTCATTATGTACGAGAGATTTCACGTAGCTGGCAGATTATAAGTACGAATCGGATTTCTGTATTTCTTGAAGCCTCAAGAGAATTTTATTAAACTTATTTTTAATCTTTTTGACAAATTTTATGAATAATTACTGTTTAATATTTTGTATATTAGTATACAGAACTTTTTGTTTTGATATTTATATAGAGTATAATTGTATGATATGAAATCTCTAAGAATTATATCCAATTTTGTATTGAAATATGCATATATATATATATATATATATATATATATATATATATATATATATATATATATATATATATATTTACTTACCTGAACCCTATTGTGTGTAGGACACCAGGCAACAGATTTATATTTTGCTATATCATACGATAGGTAAATTTTTTTTTCTAATGTTAAATCACTTGTAGTGATTTATTTAGATTACTGCATAGTTATAATTTTCTAATGTAATATGTGTTCATAGCAATTCGTGTTTATAGTTAGACAGTTTTAAACTCGTCGATCGTGATATTTTTACAGATGTATTTTTACAACAATATAAATTTTTATTAAATATGTTTGATTGAAAAAGAAAAGTCGAATTTATAGTAAATTTACCTAAAACGAATAAATATTGTATTAAACTTTTTTTTTTACCACCATTTTTGAATATCTTATTTGAAATACAACTTAAAATGATTCATCATTTTAAAAGAACTTACGTGAAAAAATTTTTTTCGACTACTTGAAATTATTTTTATTTATTTTTAATCTAATAATATATTGTTTTTAATGTTATTGTTTCTGAGTTTAAATTTTTATTATAAAATAAAGCGCGCAATAATTTAATTTAAGTTTCTTATGTGCAATAAAGTGCCATTCTTAAACATGTAAATGTTTGGATATCAAACATCAAAAATCACTTCATCCGCCCCTGACTGTTTAAAACAAAAAATAAAGCATTATAATTAGTTATCGAAGCATTATAATAGTTATCGAAGCGAACAAACGTGTTTTTTGTACAGCGTGTTTTAATTGTTATATAATAATGAAAATTTCGATTAAAAACATAGAAAAAATAATTATCAACAAATTAGAAGAACAGAAAAATTCTCAAAGAAAAAGAAAAGATTTCCATGATTGGTTTCCATGGTTATTATACCATTATTATTGGGGACCTAAATATTTTCTATACAGTGAAGGTAATAAAATTAAAAACTTTTACGAGTCTTTTTTCGGAACTGGAGCGATCCCTTTGATTAATCGTCCAACGAGAGTGACAAAAAACTCAGCGTCTTTAATTGATAATATCATTACAACATATATATCCGACAATGATATCCAAACAGGTATACTAAAGTCGGATATATCTGATCATTTTCCTACACTTTTGTTGCTTAAAACAAACTCCGAAAATATAACCAAATAAAATCAAATTAAATTACACACTTTTGACGAAACCAATATAAAACAATTTAAATACCAACTATCACTCCTACACTGGAAACATATTAACTTAAATGATAATGCTGACAAAATTTACGATAACTTTTTTGAAAAATTTTATTATGTGTATGACGTTAATTTTCCTATCATTGTAAAAACAATAAATCCAAAAAGTATAACCAACCCATGGGTGACCAGGTTATTTAAAAAATCATCAAAAATAAAACAGAAACTTGATATAAAATATCTTAAAACAAAATCATCTTCAAATGAAAAAATATAAAAAGAATACAAATACCTATTTGAAAAAGTTAATAAAAACTTGAAAAAAAGTTACTACTCAAGACTCATAGATAAATTTAAAAATAACTTTAAACGCACTTGCAAACAATGAATAAAATTAGTGGCAGACAAAAATAATGCTCAAGTTCTCTCCCCCAACTATTATAGTTGATAACAAACATATATGCGAATCAATAGCTATAGCTCATGAATTTACTAAATTCTTTGAAGATATAGGTCACAAATTAGCAAACAAAATTCTTTATACAAATGCTACATTTAGTGATTTTTTAGTACAAGTGGACAATTGCACTGGTTCCAACAAAGTATCTTCTGAACTATCTTTAAAACTCTTTAAAAATCAACCGGAGTAGATGACATAAACGTTAATATAGTCATAGAATATTTTAAATACTTAAAAATTATCCAATTTAAAGTCTATACGCCATCTATACGCCAAGGAGTTTTTCCTGAAGAACTAAAAATTGCTAGTTACTCCAATTTTAAAAGAATGTGATCAAACAAATATCATTTATTATTGTCCTATCTCCGTCCTCTCCACATTTTCAAAAACACTAGAACGTATTATGTACAGTAGATTATACAATTATCTACATTCTAATAATTTTTATACAACTATCAATTCGGCTTTAAAAGAAATAATTCCGCAGAACACGCAGTTATCCAATTTGTACGTGAAACCTCTTTTGAAAAGTCTAAATATACATTAGGTGTTTTCAACGACCTTTTGAAAGCATTTGATACTGTCGATCATAAAATTTTACTACAGAAGCTAAAATATAATTTTTTTTTTTTTTTTTTTTTATGCTGATTTTAGGTGCCCCAAGAAGTCCTTACGGTCTTATCTCAGAGCACCGCGGAAGAGCATTTATCAGGAAGTTCACGCCTCTTTCCTAACCGATGTCGCAAAGCTTGCCCAGAGGTGGGGTTTGAACCACAGATCTTACGTTTCTGAGGCAAGTGTGCTACCACTGCGCCACGGCTGCTTTTATAATATAAAATAAATTGTAAAGTTATAAAATGGTTCAAAAGTTGACTTTGGCAATAATGATCATCCAAATAAGTTTCTAAATATTTTATGTGGCTTTCGACAAAGTTCTATTTTGGTACCATTATTGTTCTTGATTTATATAAACGACCTAAACAAAGCCTCAAATTTAATGAGTATCAAGTTTGCTGATGATACTAACTTATTCTTTTCCAATAATGACATTTATAAACTCTTCTATACCATGAATGATGAACTTGAAGATATATCCAAATGGTTTAAATGCAACAAACTAACTCTTAATATTAAAAAACAAATTGGGTTCTTTTCCACCCAGTCTTAAAAAAAGCTTATTTACCCCGAAGTTTGCTTAAAGTTTTTAATGATAATATTGAAATTAAAAGACATAATGTAACAAAGTTCTTGGGTGCTTTTCGTGATGAAAACTTTACATGGAAAACGCATATCAACTATATTAGGAGAAAAATTTCTAAAAATATTGGAATTTTATATAAAACCAGAACATATTTATATAAAAAAAAGTCTAACTCAACTTTATTATACTGGAGATTTACTTGTAAATGATCCAGAAACAATTTCGGCGTGGTGCAGTAGTTAGAGCACTTGTTTTATAAGCAGGAGATCCTGGTTCGAAACGAGTTTTGGATATATTTTCGCGTTAAGGTAAGGAAGGAGGCGTGAACTTCCTGGTTAAAGCACTTCCACGGTGCTCTGTGACAAGACCGTTAGGTCTTCCTTGGGCACCTAAATAACAATAAAAAAAAATTACTTATTAATTCATGATTATTTAAATTATGCTAATGGTGCATGGGGATGCACTGAAAAAAGCAAGTTGAATTGGCTTTATCGCTGTCAGTAACATGCGATCCGTTTAATTAGTTTTGCGGATCGATAACCTCATTCTGAACTATTTTCTATTTAAATGAAAGTTCTCAATATTTATGGGGTTAATGTTTTTAATGTTTTGTGCTTGATGTATATGTGGAAAAATGACATATCTTCACCCGTTTTCAAAGATCTCTTTTGTTTGAAACCAATAAATTAATATACACTTAGAAACAACAACTTTATGTAAGAGCCCATTTGTCGATTGAAGTTTAATCAGTTTTGTGTTGCACATCGTAAATCTTATCTTCAGAATAAAATTGTTTCGTCTATTTTCGACATGCTTTTAACTATTGGCATATTATATCAACAAATATAAACAACTAAAATTAATTATGTTGAAATAATGCAAGAGACTTTTTGCTAGATGACATTGCCATTACTACGTAATGCAGAGTACTACTACACAAACAGTAATGCAGATACTACGCATACTACATACATACAGTAATGCAGATACTGCAATACTACGTAATGCAGAGTACTACTACACAAATGCAGAGTACTACTACACAAATAGCAAATGCAGAGTACTACTACACAAACGATCCAACACATCATAGATCCAACACACCTAAATAGCACCATCACTGCCTTATTGAAAAAAATCCATGTTTTTTGTAATTATTTCTGGCTTATTCTTATTCATTTTTTATCTCATCTTGTTTTATATTTTTTTGATTATATTCATCAACAATCATAAAGTCAGTTGTAGAACTACCTTTTACCATTTGCATATTACTTTTGGTCAATCAGTCTTTTTGAACTTAGATTTTTAACGCATTTAACTCATTTTTAATCTGTGCTTCTTAAGATAAAACTCATTTTTAATCTGTGCTTCTTAATATATGTCGGTATCAATGCTTAGATGAATAGTTTTTTTCACTTCTTTAAGGTTCACAATATCATCGCTAAATTAAACTGTTTGTGATACTAAAAAAAAGAAATTATTTATAACTAGTTCCAAAATACAAAAAAATAAAACAACAACAGTAAAATAAGATTAGATTTAAACTACCTTTTTTTTTTTTTTTTTTTTTTTTGCCGTTTCATATATTTACAATATAGACATATTACATTTATAAAAATTGGCCGGAGCAAGAAGAAGACAATGACTGTCTTTTCGCCGAGCCCCGTTTACAAATTGCCCGTGTTTATAAACAAATATAAATAAAATATACAAAAAAACGTTAAAGAGTACATAACTTTTGTCAAATAATAAAATGACATTTATATTAAAATTTAAAAGTAAAGAAAGTTTTGTATACTAATACAAATATATTTGATACATATAACAAAATATATTTAATGATAATGGGAGCGTTTGTTTCAATTTTAAAATTTCCTTTTTAAAAAAATACTTAAAGTCTATTGAATTAAAATCTAATTGAAGTAAGATTCTTTTAGAAACTGCTTTAAATTTTTCTAAAGAGTAGTGTTCTTTATTAAAGTTTTTAATAAAAATTTTCCATAAAAAAGGTCCTCGATATTTAATTTGATAAGAACTTATTTTTAAATTTATTCTCGGAACAATAAAGTTGTCCTCTGAAAACTTTGTTGGATACTTATGAGATATTTCGCTAAAACAAGATTGAAATATAAGTGGAGATACTCCATGTTTCATTTTAAACATGAAAAGTAATGTTTGGTAAATGTTTAGTTTATAAATGTTTAAGGCCTTAAGACGATTTAATAGTGGTTCGCAATAAACAGTTCTGTTTGCCCCAAATACAATCCTACAAGAATGCTTTTGTTTACTATAAAGTTTTTTGAGTTTTCCGTAATTCGTACTTCCTCATGCAATGTTTTGCAACTTTTAAAAACATGTCATGCAACTTTTAAAAACGTTCACTCTTTAATAAATTAACAATTAAAGTTAATAAAAGTAATTTTAAGAACATTCAAAAAAATTGTAAAACGAAAATAGAAATAATAAACTATAATCCATTCACACATATATACAAAAATTAGTAGTGTATATATGCTTATTGCTTAATGAATAATATGTATACTTACATACAAAGTATCGCTAATATACATAACAAGTCTCGCTCTCTTGGAGTAACCTATCAAACATCAGCGGACTCGAGCAACTGTTCTACTACTAGCTGTGATCTACAATATCTTTCTTGTGTTTATTGCATATTTGTATATAATATTTTATTTATAATAAATTGAACTCGTTTTAAAATACGACTCTTACGTAAAACAGCATACTGTACCAAGTGTTTCAATCTAATTTGCCAGGCAACAATCTAAATATAAACTAAAGTTTATTTATATTACAATTAGTAATTGTTAAATACATAATATTAAAAATTAAGTATTTATAAATTTGAAATATGGGAAAACTATTTATTTTTTTAAATATGGAAAAAATTTAGTTTAATAAAAAGTTGTCGTAAAGTTGTGCTATAGTAGCGAGAACGTTTTAACGTCATAGAACGTTCTTAACGTTTCAACAAACTATTACCACCTTACCATTCATACATATTTTTTTAGTTTTCAGCGTTTAAAAATTTCAAGGATAATTTATAAAGAAAAAACAGCGCTTTTTGAACGAGTTTATGTGGAAATGGAATTTATAGCCTTTCTTCAATTTAAAATAAGTATTTATTTATGTTTTCATGAAAAAAAGGTACTTTAAAATTTTGTTTAGAAATTAAGTATATAATGTTTCCTTTTATTCCTTTGCGTATCGTTTGTTTTGATTTTTGCCATTGATTTTTGATGCTTTTTATTTTATTTCGGTTTCACGTCAAATTTTCCATATTTAAAGACTTTTTTTTATCAAAAATTCATTATTTATCAAAAATTCATTAATTTTCCAGCTTAAAAACTGCAATAACTTTGTTCAGTTAACTTCTAAAGTTGAAAGAACCCTCATTTTCTAGATCTATTTACGTTCTATGCAATTATGTTTACCATATAAAAAATATTTTTACAAAAAAAAAAAAATCCTCTGGAATGGCAAGCTATGGAACAATATTGACAGCTTTGTTATGGAAAAGTTATTTGAATTAAATAGTAACTAAATATTTTTAATACTTCATTTTAAGCAAAAATTTTCTAGATTTAAAAATTTGATTTAAAATTTATTAACAAAGTCACACTTCTAACTCTACCGCATGTATGATGTAATATCATTGTTTACATTTTTTCTCATCAGATAATAACATTCCGCTGACAATAAAAAATTAAATGAGTCGATAGTTTCTGAGTCATCTTTTTGATTGATAAAATAATTAACTTACAAACATTTAGATAGACTTAATCAACGATAAATCATATAATCTGAAATTTCCCGCAATGATTTCTAACATATTCATTTACAATTCCAGTTTAAAACATAAACCTTCTTTTTAGTGATGTCGTAAATAAGTTTGTATTTTTATTAAAAACAGACATTTTGATGGTTGTTTTGCTTAAAATTGCTATATAACTCTAATTTAGACATTTATATAGTTAAACTGGAATTTGAGATCCTTAAAAGCTGTCTTGGTAACTATATTGATACTTAAGTTAGTCGTCATGTTGCTATCAAGCTGATTACTTCAAGAAAAAGAACAGTTTTTTAAATAAGGTGAATTTCAATTTGTTTATAACTTTTAACGAGCAAATTATATAAAAAACGAATAAGAAATGTTTAAACATTATTTTTTACTTCAAAAAATACAACTAAGTAATGTATTTATAAACCTAACATAATGTTAAAATTTATAATAATTATCTATTTTTCAAAAAAAAAGACTTTTTCTCGGACGCTTTTGTATCAAGTTTTAATAAATTTTTGCATTTCTTTAATATAGCTTTTAGGAGTTTTAAAAGCTAATATGACCGCCGTGCTTTTAAAACTGCATTTTTATATTCTCTTACAAAATTTTTAGTTTTCACTCACATTTTATTTTTAAAACTATTTCAATATATACCTAAAGTCGAGTAAAATTTTAGTTTTAATGCGCAATCGGAATGCCTTTATTACATTATTATCCTTTTACGCAATACCTTACAAGATATAGTTGCTAAATATTTCATCATATACATATATTATATATATATTTTACAAAGCAAACTAACAAACCACCTACCCCGACAAAAGGTGCATCACGTTGTCTGATAAGGATTGCTAATCTAGAAACTCTTGTGATATATGTTAACTCAAGCTTTTCAATTCACGCTGTATTCAGAAAATTTTTTCTACATATTTATATGCCAAAGTAATGCATCCACCTCAGGTTTGTGTACTATCTAACAATATTAATTATATGAATGTTTTAAATTTTGTTGTATTATTAGCTACGTCATTAAGTGGAGTGCCAACACTTATGATTTACTGTACAGACTCATATTTTTTGTGTTTACAACACTGTAAACGGATTTTTTGGAAGTTAGTTCTTACATTACCATCTTCAACAAATTTTGATCCATAGAAGGTTGAAAATAATAAAGATCGACCTCAGGAGATAAAAAAATAATTTTCTTTCTGAAATGGGGTTGCATTTTTTGGTATACCATTTTAATAAGAGACGTTTTGTTCAAAAAGGGAAATCAGGATAATAACCCTTTCAGCAGGACAAATTTCGGAGATAACGAAATAAGGGATTCACTTCTTCTGGAGTCAGAGCTTTATCAGATACATACGATTGTACACAATCTCCGTAAATAAGGTTTAACTGGCTATTAGGTCATCTATTGTTGGTATAAATTCAGCAGTCAAGGAAGCACAAAACAAGTTTGTAACCGCTCAATAAACTAGATGTTCAAAAATATTTTAGTGATGATATTAACCGTCTTAACCATGATATTAGATATTCTCTTTATAAATAAAGTTTAATTGTTTGTTTAGGTGTCATTCCTAATAACTTAATTTTTCTTGGATGTCAACCGCCGTTCAAGGAACTTTGCACTGTTTTCTAAAGATACGGCAGCGGCTAAACGCGATTGGTAAAAATTGGTTATATTATCCTCTTCACAAGATCACTCATCCACTTCAGCCTTACTTATTAAATCCAAAACGCTCTCCTTTTTTTTCTTATATAGCGTATTATTTCCTTCCTCCAAATAAATAAAACACAAAACATATGATAATGATTGCAAGCAAATGCGAATTTATATACGTTAAAATCATATCATCTCGACTATTTCTTGAGCTTAATTTGTAATATGATTCAAAGCAACATGTTTTTTGATCTAAGGTAAGATTTATTCAATTTAATTTGTTCATCTTAAATGTGTTGTCCTTTCTCTTCCACAATAGCTTTGAACGATGACATGTATTTAAACAGAAAAATGACTACTGTACTTAACTGGTCTCTAGCATTTTATGAGACGGCAATTCAACGCTAAATTAATAATTAGAGGCTGTGCTTTATATGACGACCAATAATTTTGCTAAAGTTAATTTGCGGCTATCAGGGTTAAACTCAGCGATACAATAATTGATGAGAAAAATACATTTATATCCGTTGATATTGATTTCTTTAAACCAAGCTGTGGTTTTGCAATCGCTCAATATTTAGCACTTCTCGGAGTTACTTTTCGATCCTATTAAGGTGAATCTATAAAAAAAGTTATCCTTTTAAAAAGATTTTTGCTGACGTTTTTTATCATATAGTCGCCGTCGGCTTTGATACAGTGGCATTACATATTATTGCTAAAAAAGATAAAGTAACAAGGGCACTGAGCTTGATTTTTAAATGTCAAACCTTAGAAAGTTTTAATTATATTTAGTTGGAGGTAAATTCATATGTCAAAAAGTAGTTGATATGGAAAGGATACCAGCCAGCGTTATAAAAATGATTCTCCTCATACACCTCAACCAAACCAAAATGTTAAATAAATACAATAAACAATATAAGACAGCGAGCGTTGAGTTCTAGGGAAGTGGGATATTAGCCCAGACTCTCAGAAAACAATATCCAAACAGTTGAAAAGCAAAAAAGACAAGACAAAGATGTTAAAAAATTGCAAAAGGCAACAACTGACTGTAATTGAAAATAAGTTAAGACAATCAATAAAATTAATACTCAATTCCAGGCTGATCTGAGACTATCAAGAAAATATTCTAATAGTTTATCTGTTATCGCTTTTATTAACTCCGGTGTTATTTGAATTTCTTCTGGTTTTACTTGATGAATATTAGTTTGTATTTCATTTTTTATATCTTAAGCTCTTTAAATTTATTGGTTTAAACAAACCATTAAAGTTAAGCTCTTTTTTTATTCTTCCAGAATTGCGTGGAACATAATCTAAGGCAATAGCATTAACAACAATTTTGGTGAAACGTTTTTGAAAATGATATTGATTACACTATTTATAGTTTTTACATAATATGCGAAAGTTCCCTATTTGAACTTGTAATTTATATTATTTCTTTTTCTTTAGCTTTACTTAGTATTAGATCGATTTTGTATACAAGTCAGATATATATATATATATACTTTTTATACTATAAAGAAGTATATCATGTGACATTTTTTTGTTTATTAAAAGGAATTGTAAAGCGAAACCGGGTCAAACCGCACACTAATCAAAAAATGTTTTTTATTTTTCATTTTTATTTCATTAAATAGATAACAAGATTACATAAAGATATATTAAAAAAAATCAAACGATCAAAAATATGAAATGTAAAAAAAAAATTGTGCGTTTTTAGACGGCTTTCTTTATAGATTTTTCTTCATCATTTTGTTTGAGGGTTTTTCAATGCGAATTGTTCGTGCAACTATTAAAACCACTTTTTCCTAGTGAGCACGGACGTAAAAAACCTTTTTAACGTCTTATACACGTTTTGGACGTCTTTTGAAGGTTTTGGATAATTTTTGAACGTTCAAAAGACGTCTCTTTTTGGTCCGGTGCCTATTGGGTTCTCTGGTTTTTCCCTTCTGTACATATAGTTTTACATACACTTGCATAATTATCTTCATTTTTAACTAGAGATCTAAAAAGATAATATATATATATATATATATATATATATATATATATATATATATATATATATATATATATATATATATATATATATATATATATATATATATATATATATATATATATATGTATATATACATATATATATATATATATATATATATATATATATATATATATATATATATATATATATATATATATATATACATATATATATATATATATATATATATATATATATATATATATATATTATATATATATATATATATATATATATATATATATATATATATATATATATATATATATATATATATATATATATATATATATATATATATATATATATATATATATATATATACAGAGTGGTTAATAATATATATTTTAAAATATATTTTGAAGCTACTGTGTTTACAAATCAATCAGATCTTTTCATTTTTATAGAAATGTAATAAATATTTACAAAGATGTATTACTGGATAGTTCTACTAGTGTAAGAGGATTCATAGCAAAAGATTCTGTCTGTGAAATAATTAATGTTGGAGCAACGGCAGTAGCTGGTTCCTTGTACGCATTTTTTGTATTTTTTCCTGGTTTTTATCCAAGCATTTTCGATTTGGAGTAGGTCCAGCAGCTTTTGTTTACTCTTTGTCTTGGATATGTTTTACAGCTCTTTTAGACAAATCGTTGACCACATTAACAGATTTAACAAAATTCTGGAACTACGGAAAATTTAGCATAGTAGCACATCTGCCAGTAGTACATCAGATCCTATAGAATATTTAGGAGTTTTTATTCAAGTAAATAAGATTTTAACTATTGTGGTAATTTAAGAAGTTAGTTTATATAGCAAACCTGGAAGGCAGCAGAATCTGCAAATTCGCATGTCAGGAACAATGGAGCCCAAAAAAGTACAATACACTCAACCATCCTAATAATTTCTCTGATAATATTTTCACTCAGATTAATATTTAGTCAGATCCTTAGCAGTAGCTCAAACTTTATAAAGTAAAAAGTCTTCTCCATAAATCTTGCATGTAAGATGGCTCCAGTTTTGTAAATGCTATAACTGGTAGCCTGATCTTTATCAAGATACTTAATTAAAATCTCAGCTAATTCGCTACTTTAACACACTGGGGTCATGGCTCCTTGCTCTCCCAGTTGCCATTTCAACATAAGACGAAGAGACCTAAGGTAACCACAACACGCTCGTAAAATCCACATTTTAAAATCTGTATATATATATATATATATATATATATATATATATATATATATATATATATATATATATATATATATATATATATATATATACAGTATTGGACAAAACACCTGCAACCAACATCGAGCAATGCTAAAAAGTGTTCCTAATTTTACATGTCTTCAAAACGAAACGAACTATACTACCACAGCAAACAGTTTAGGAGTCTGGAGTCATAGCATGCCATGACATGAGCAATTAGCTGACAGATGACAGCACACAGGAAGAATTTCGTTGACAAGTGCCATTTTGCTGCTGACAAAACAAGTGCATCTTTTCCCGTATGTTTCATTTTCATAAGTCTGGTCCATGTCAACGTCACAGAAGTTTTTTAGTAATTAAAGATAGTATCCAGACGTTGTGTTCCACAGAGCATT